CCCCCCCCCGAAGGGGAAGAAGGAGGGGTGGAAGAGGAAACGCTCTAAACCACCGACGCCCAGAGGGCTGGTGGGATTCTTAATCAAACTCAATACACATGGATTCCTATTGAGAGCCTGTGCAAAAGGATTCCTATGGAGAGCCTCTACAAACAGATTCCCATTGAAAGCCTCCACGAAAGGATTCCAATTGAAAGCCAATGCACAAGGATGTTTCTTGAGAGCCCATACGAACATTTTCCTATTGAGAGCCTCTACGCCAGGATTCCTCGAACCTCCCCCCCCCCAAACAAAAACCTCCCTAAAACGTTCCTCAGGAAGGTTCCGGGATTCCTGGAACCGTCCAACCAACCTTTTTTAAAAACATTGTTTTCAGGAAGGTTCCAGGAGTCTTGGAGCCTTCCATCCCAAAAGAAAAAACCGTCTAAAACCTTCCTCGGGAAGAATCCAGGATTCCTGGAACCTTCCAAACAACCTTCCTAACACCTTCCTCAGGAAGGTTCCAGGATTACTTGAACCTTCCGAACAACCTTCCTAACATTGTATTGTTTGGAAGGTTGTTGGAAGGTGTTTTGGAAGGTTTTTGGAAGGTGTTTTGGGATGTTTTGCTGGAAGGTGTTTTGGAAGGCTTTTGGCATGTATTGGGCGGGTTCGATAAATGCTGGAAGGTTTGAGAACGATGTTCGGAAGGTGTTCGGCAGGTTTGTTGGAAGGTGTTTGGAAGGTTGTTTGGAAGGTTGTTTAAAGGTGTTTGGAGCAACCTTCCTAAAACCTTCCTGAACCTTCCTCAGGAAGATTCCGGGATTTCTGGGACCTTACAAAAAACATCCGTCCTAAAATTTTCCTAAGGGAGGCTTCAGGATTCTTGGAACTTTCCCAACAAAAACCTCCCTAAAACCTTTCTAGGGAAGGTTCCGCGGTTCCTGGAACCTTCCCAAACAAAAAAACCTTCCTGACACCTTCCTCAGGAAGGTTTCCGGATTCCTGGAAACTTCCAAAAAGTCTCACTAAACTATTCCTCAGGAAGGTTTTTGGAAGGTGTTTGGGCCAACCCCTCTTGGAACCTTCTTGAGGAAGGTTTTAGGAAGGTGTTTGGAAGTTGTTTTGTTTGAAGAAGGTTGTTGAAGGTTTTTGGGAGGTTTGTCTTGGAAGGTTTTTTTTTGAATTTGTGTTTGGCAGGTTGTTGGAAGGTTTGTTGGAAGGTTGTTTGGACGGTTGTTGGCCGGCTTTTCGGACGTATTGGGCGGTTTCGCTACATGCTGGAAGGTTTTAGGGAGTTTGCGGAAAAAAGGTTTTTAGGAAGGTTTGTTTGAATAGTTGTTGGCCGATTTTTGGGAGGTTGTTTGGAAGGTTCTTGGAAGGTTGTCGGGAAAACCTTCCTAACATCTTCTTCAGGAAGGTTTCAGGATGCCTGGAACCTTTCAAATAAACGCCTTCCTAAAACCTTCCTCAGGGAGGTGTTTGGAAGGTTGTTGGGCCAACTCTCTTGGAACCTTCTTGAGGAATGTTTTCGGAAGGTTTGGGGACGTTTTTTTGTTTAGAAGGTGTTTGACAGGTTTTCGGCAGGATTTTGTTGGATTTGTTTTGCAGGTTGTTGGAATGTTGTGTGGCAGGTTGTTTGTTCGTTGTGTTTGGAAGGTTTGTTTTGGAGGTTTTGTTGTGGGTATATATATAATATAATATTAGTTTGGGATGTATTGGGTGGTTTCGTTAAATGCTGGAGGGTTTTAGGAAGGTTTCTGGAAGGTGTTTGGACGGTTCTTTTGGATGGTTGTTGGAAGTTGTTTGGATGGTTGTGGAAAAATCTCCCCGGCAACGTTCTTACAATTTTATTCCTGGAGGTTCGGGGATACATATATATATATATATAAAAACTATCCAGAAACCTTCTTCATAAAACCTTCTTCAGGAAGGTGTTAGGATGCTTGGAACCTTCCAAAAAAACCGTCCTGAAACCTTCCTCAGGAAGGTTCCATCATGCCTGGGACCTTCCAAAACACCTTCTTAAAACCTTCCTCAGGAAGGTTTTTTTCTGATTCTTGAAGCCTTCCGAAAACCTCATGAAGGTTTTTGGGAGGTTTTTGGGCCAACCCCTCCTGGAACCTTCCTGAGGAAGGTTTTAGGGAGGTTGTTGAAGGTTATTTGGAAGGTTATTCAAAGTTTACGGAAGGTTTTTTTTTGAATTTGTTTCATAGGTTTTTGGAAGGTTGTTTGGAAGGTTTTTTTGTTGGAAGGTTCGTTGGAAGGTTTTTCTTTGAAGGTTGGTGGAAGTGTTTTGGAATGTGTTGGGCTGATTTCGTTAAATTCTGAAAGGTTTTAGTGGGAGGTTTTTGGAAACAACCTTCCTAAAACCTTTCTCGCCCCCCCCTGGGAAAACCTTCCAACAACCTTAATTACAGAAAAACCTTCCTCAGGAAGGTTTCAGGAGGGCTTCGTCGAAACTCCCGCACCGGTCTCGGGGACGGGGATTAAGGCGGAGTGTCGAAACAATGTCGAGACAGTGTCGGGCGAGTGTCTCCCAGGGCCCGACACGTGAAAACCCTTGCGTTTCGTCACGTGCTTGTGCGCTCGAAAGTCTTCCTGGTGATCAAGGCTAAAAGTAGGTTGGAGCATCGTACAGTCGGGGCGCTGAAGAAGGAACCCTTCTCATTGGGTAGGGGCTCCGTGTTCCTTCATTGTTTTTCACAGTTTGCCCTGGGTTTTCTTAGGTCTTCAAAATGGTACATCGAAGTCTAACCTACGGAAAAAGAGGGGCCTCGCTCCTTACTTAGGGCTCCTTGTTCCTTAGCTCATCGCCCCGACGGTTCCCCCAGGCGCGCGAGCAGAAGAACCTGGGCGGCGCCGACTCCACGGGCGTGGCCGTGGGCGCCGGCATCCGGGAGCGTCTGGAGGCGGGCCGTGGGGCGCCACCGCCGCAGAGATCCAGCAGGAGGGAAGAAGTGATACCGGAGAAAAACCCCAATCAGGGTTATAGGGCTAGGGGGCTATAGGGCTATTGAGCTATAGGGCTATAGAGCTACGGTAGGTTTGCGTCGTGTCGACCGGCGGCGACCCCAGCGCGGGCGTTCAAGGTTGAACGCCGCCGGCGACCCAGAATCGGTCGATGTTGAACGATCGGACGTTGCGGCAGTGGCCGATCGTTCAAGGTTGAACGATCCCTGCGGTGTCAAAAACCAACGCTGGGGTCGGCACGACACGAACCTGCCGTACAGGGCTATAGGGGTATTGAGCTATAGGGCTATAGAGCTATAGGGCTATGGAGTTGTAGGGCTATTGGGCTATAGGGCAGCCCCGGGCACCCCCGGGCAGCCCCGGGCACGCCCGGGCACCCGGGCACCCCCGGGCACCCCCGGGCACCCGGGCACCCGGGCGTGCCGCGAAAATCGGCGGCAAACCTAACCTAACCATATGAATCCGCTAGGACCCCTACAGAGGCAAGCTCTGATTGGGCAAAGACACAGACACAAAGAATCGTCGATTCCCAGGAAAATATGCAGATGTATGGGAAGTGGGGGGGAAGACGAAGATCCAGGACATATGGAGACATATGGGGGATCCTGTTATTTGTGTGTGTGTGTGTTTACTTGTATGTCCCAGGGCCCCTTCAATTCAAAGTGTCGAAGAAATCAAGACGGAGATTTGTTCGCCGAGCCCCGGGACGATCAGTAGCGGCTCGGGATGAAGAACCGGCCCTGGGGACCGGGTCGGGACTTCTGGGGACGACGTCGGATCTTTGGCTCAAGCTCGCGTCGGCTCAAGCAGCCCGCCCGTGCGCGCACCCGCTGCCGTGCTGTCATCTTCTCCGAGGTGTGACGGCCATGGCGGCCCGCTTCGCGCTGCTCGTCCTGGCCTCGGGGCTCGCCGTGGACTCGCCGGGCGACGCTGGGGCGTGACGGCCGCGGGCGCGGCGCGCTCCGAGGCTTGCGTCGGGCATGTCCCTCTACAGGAGGAATCTTCGAGCATGCTTAACAATCGAGTATGGTGACACGTGCTCGTGTTTTTGTTGGCTACGTTTGACGCTGCTTCGACGATGCCCGCTGTTTTGTTTTCTTGTTTTTGTTTTTCTCGTTCCCAGAAGCCGCTTGTAGGAGGACGTGCCCGACCTGATCCGAGGCGGAGGCGGGCACCCAGCAGGAGCGCGAGCACACGGCCGCGCGCGTGGAGGCGCCCCACGCGCGCGCGGCGCTCGCGGGCTCCCGGAGCCCCCCGCGGCGAGGGGGAGGAGGAGGAGGAGGCGGAGGAGGAGGAGGCGGAGGCGGAGGAGGAGGAGGAGGCGGAGGAGGAGGAGGAGGCGGAGGAGGCGGAGGAGGAGGAGGAGGAGGGGGAGGGCAGCCGCCACCTGCCCAGGCCCAACACCTACCTCCCGACCCTCGCAGACAAGACGAAGTACCGGGGCCACTGGACGTCGCGGGCTCACCGGCGTGGGCATGCCTCTGGACGCCGGAGAGGTCCGTGCGGCGGCGCTCGGCCACAGGTGCAGCCCGCTGCACGGCGCGACGAAGGAAGCCATGTCCTGGGAGGCGGACGAGGGCAGCACCACTCCTGTCTGCCTCACCGTCACAGGAGGAGGAGGAGGAGGCGGAGGAGGAGGAGGCGGAGGCGGAGGAGGAGGAGGAGGCGGAGGAGGAGGAGGAGGCGGAGGCGGAGGAGGAGGAGGAGGGGGAGGAGGGGCCAGGTCGACCGTCGGCCTCGCGGCATGCCCTGGAGGCATATCGGCGGCGAGCGACGGGGGAAGCGAGAAGGAGACGGTTTTCCCAGCAGGCGGCGGGGCTACTCGGAAGCGCTGCAGCCTTCCGAGAGGTTTCCTGCGTCCACTGGGAAGGCTCAGAGAGCTGCGCAAAAAAGCCCGAGGCCTTCTTCTGAGCCTTCCGAGAAGGCCCGCTACCTCTCACGTCCCCCCGGGTTCGCCGCCGAGCATCGGCAGCATTGGCCAACGGGCAGCGTTGGCCTATGCCCCAGCAGGCGGTAGTTCTCCTCGGCCGAGCGGGGCTCGACATTGGTTGCGGCCACCTGCTCGAGGGGAAGAGTGGGGAGGAAAAGGCAGCGAAGATTGGAGAGGAGTGGAGAAGAGGTGAACCAATTGTAGGAGGCGAGGGAGGAGCTGGTCGAGTATTCTTAGGCTTCTCAGGCCTGTACAGGGCACAGGCTGATCAGCCCGGTCCGTGTCACAATGCTCTTTATGTGTTGCGAGTGCAGCGTTTGATATTGATTTCAATTCGCTCTGTGGATATCCAGGACTGCGATTGGTGGTCAGTCAAGTTGTCCACGTAGGAGGTCACGGGCTGATCAGCCAGGCCCATGTCGCAATTCTATGTATGTATTGTGCGTACAGCGCATGAGATTGGCCATCATTTCAAGCCGCATGGACACGACTATTTCCCAACGCCCCTTGGCGCTTGTGATGCGTCGTTTATCCATGACGCGTGCGCGAGCATCAACTATCTTGTCCAGATGCTGCGCAGACTTCTGAATGTGTGAATGGACTGGACATTTAATGCAACGCCTGGAATGCTAATCGCTCAGCCTTTTCATCTAGCTGGGTGCGGTGCCAATGCGTTTCCGACCGACTATTCCGGTTTCCATCTCACCGTTTCTGGCGTCCGTTTTTCCGATTCCCATCTCTCCGATTCCGGCTCCCATCTCTCCGCTTCTAGTTCCCATCTCTCCGATTCCTGCTCCCATCTCTCCGACTCCAGCTCCCATCTCTCGGCAATAGGTCGTCTTTCCGATTCTGGTTTCCATCTCTCCCGCTCAAGCTCTCTTTTGCGATTTTTCCACACCACACCTCTCCTGGGGGTTCTGGCCCCCCCGCGCTGCCCTCTTCGAGGGCCGGTCCGCTAGACCGACATCGCGAGCTCGCCTCGCACGACCGACCGTTCGACATGCATTGACTAGACTGGTGGCAACAGTCGCGGGTACCTGTTCGGTGGAAAAGAGAGCGACTTGAACATCTAGATTCGTGCCCCAGCTGCTGCTGCTGCTGCTGCTTACTGCCATCACTTTTTTTCTGAGGCTGCCTCGGATGTTTTTGATGCGCCGCAGAAGATGTGCCTCTCGTATGTTCGAGGCTTCTGTCGGTGTTCGTCTCCTCAGCTTTCCCCCTCCTTCTCCCAACCAGGTGCGCTGAAAGTGAATTCATATCCATACCGTTCCATACCCATGCCCTCGCCGGCAGGATGCCGGGGTGTGGGATCCCATTGACACGCGATCCCATGATGGATAAGTTCCGCGCGGGCTATCCGCGCAAAGCCGCTCTATGTCACCGTGGTCGCGGACCAGGAGTCCAGATTGCGGGGCCTTGGATCGGAGGTTGCGGGGGAGGGGGGACCGAACTGAAACGTGAGATGCCCCGACCAGGACTTTGAGTTTGGTTTCGGTTCGTGACGTGCGTGCGGGCAAGGCGCGGCGAAGCTGCTCGAGTTCTTCCCCTTGTAGTTGACCATTCAAGCAACATTGAGTCGCCCCCGCGGCGGCAGTGGCGCGTGGTTGTGATGCTAGTCCCGATGGTTGTCCCCATGCTTGTGTCAATGCTTGTGCCAATGCTTGTCCCGATGCTTGTCCCGATGCTTGTCCAGATACTTGTTCCGATCATTGTCTCGACGGCTGTCCCGATGGTTGTCCCGATGCTTGTCCCGATGTTTGTCCAGATGCCTGTCCCGATTGTTGTCCCGATGCTTGTCGCGATTGTTTGCCCCGATGGTTCGTTGTCCCAATGTTTGTCTCGATGTGATTGTCTCGATGTTTGTCTTAACGGTTTGCCCGATACTTGTCCCGATGGTTCTGCGAGGTCATGATACCCAAAACACGCTTTTTTCGAGACCATGCGACAAGCATTGAGCTCTGCGTGGTCCCGATGCCGAGACATGGGCGTTGCGAGGCCAAACCACCAAAGACTTGCCCTATGCGAGCCCATGATTTCCCAAGCATTTTTTTGGCTATGCCACTCTACCAAATAACGCGCTCTCTGGGGCAACCTATTACGAATGCCCCTTGCCGGGCAACAACCAATCCGTTTGCTGGCAACATGCAGCACATTTGCCATGTGAGGCACAATATTGAAACATTTTATGACAACCAATAGACAGCCAACAAACCACCTATACCACATCACTGAACACCAGCTTGAGAGGAGCTGCAGCTATGAAAACCATAGAAAACAGTGAAATAGGAGTTACCACTTGCACGGCCTAAGGGAACCCACTGTTCCCGCCGTGCAAATGGATAGGTCTGACGTTCACAGATTTGAAGATCGATGGACTTCTAAGAAGAGGCAGTGAGTTCGAAACATCGTGAGATCGGTCGAAAGTGAGACCGAACGAGGGATGATAGATGCTTGTCTCGAGTTTGTCCCGTTTGCTGTCCCGATGGTTGCCCCGATTGCTTTCCCGATGGTTGTCCCGCTGGCTTTCCCGATGCTTGTCCCGATTGTTGTCTGGATGGGTCGTTGTCCCGATGGGATTGTCTCGATGTTTGTCTTAAGGGTTGTCCCGATGTTTGTCCCGACTGTTGTCCCGATGCTTGTCCAGATAGTTGTCCAGACTGATTGTTTTGTTGTTTGTCCCGATGCGTTCCCGATGCACGTCCAAAGGGTTGACCAGATGCTTGCCTGGATGATTGTCCCGATGTTGTTCCCGATAATTCTCTCGATGCTTGTCCCGATGTGTGTGTGTGTGTTTGTGTCGATTGTTTCCCTGATATATGGGACTACAACACATTCAGTGGTAGTGCTATCGGTATGTTCACCGTCAGACCAACATATGCTGATACCGATAGGCCATCTAGATGGGTACATACGACGGTTGTCCCAGTGATTGGTATTTTCGTACGTTTACGTATATACGCACATATATATGATATACATGTACACCTTGAAGTGTTTTGTATGTTTGTA